GCATTTAATTTGTTAGGAGGGGGCGGCTGTTAAAGGCTTCACCATGCTTTGCAATATTTTCTTCACTGAATAACCGCTCAGAATATTTTATTTTTGTAAATGATTTATGAACCTTGCTAATATGAATATTCCTGTGGCTGTTCAGCCACACCTCCACATCACCTGTTGGCTGGTACAGTGTTTGTCCGTACAACTCTCACTTGTGAGAGCAGGATAGAAACTGCCTATTACGGCTCTGAATGTGGTAGGAATGATGTATGTTGTTACTGTGGTTTGTCAAACGCAGAGGTTGATGACAGCCTTAAACGACAGTATAAAACTGTTCTGCCACTGTGTATGTCATGTGCAGACAAGGGTTACAGGGCAGTCTGCCTGCGACCTGTCCTGAGAGCCACTAAGAAGTGACTGGTTTAGGATAATTGTGCACACAGTGGGGCCATGACTATTGTATTTCTCAACTGGGTTATGGGTAGGAAAAGATATTTGATATGATCACGTTCAATTTTTTTTTGTCATAGATGATAAGAAAAATTAATGATGTTTCAGTTAAGCAGATTTACAATGTACATGTACCTCACTTGTTACAGCAGGATCTAAACTGTCTATTTACGGCTTTGAATGTGGTAGAAATGATGTATGTTGTTACTGTGGCTTGTCAAACGCAGAGGATGATGACAGCCTTAAACGACAGTATAAAACTTCTGCTACTGTGTATGTCATGTGCAGACAAGGGTTACAGGGCAGTCGACCTGTCCCGAGAGCCATTCAGAGCAGCCTTGTGTTAATAAAGCGTTCAGTTCAGACTGTTTGATGTTTGATGTTTTATTAGATATCCATTAGATTAGATAACAAATCTAATCTATTCTTCCTGGATTCACAAGTTCACAGTTCAGACTGTTTACATCTCGCTTGTCTGAATCTTTCTAGAGGTTACTATATACAAACTCTTTTCTTGAAGAATTTTACGATCTGTAGTGCCAAATTTTCTGTGTAGTACAAACAGATCATACGTTCATTGTCCCGGCTTTGACTAAAAAAAAAAAAAAAAAAAAAAAAGGGAATCCCTACCTACCGACCCTAATTTTTTCTGGACTGTAATAGGAAACACAACATTTATTTTGTTAGGCCTTATAGGGTTAGGCAGCAGGGAGAATGATGTAATTGCATGGAGTACATTCATTGTTAAAGCACTCTTTAAAAAGTTTAATGTTTTGACTCCAGACTGGAGCAAAGATTATGATTCGCGGGAAAGGTTCCGTGAAGGAGGGAAAGATCGGACGTAAGGACGGGCATGCCAAGGGCACTAAATTTGCATGGTTATGGGTTAGGCAGTATGAAGAAGGTTGTAATTGCAAGGAGTTCATTCAATGTTAAAGCACTCTTTAATGTTTTGACTCCAGACTGGAGCAAAGATTATGATTCGCGGGAAAGGTTCCGTGAAGGAGGGAAAGATCGGGCGTAAGGACGGCCAGCCACTGCCTGGCGAGGATGAACCACTCCACGCGCTGGTGACCGCCAACAACGCCGAGTCAGTCCGCAAGGCCGTTGACGAGGTTTGTGGTAGAACCCACGTGACCAGGATGTTGTCAGATCGCTAGCACTTCCGTTCCGCATGCTTTTTTGCTTTCATGTCGTTTTTCCGCCCCACGAAACTTCCAACTCGAGCCGCTCTACATCCGACTACTTTTATATTTGACCGTACTAGCACCTCTTTCCATCACCCAGTTGTAGCCACCACGACAGCTTACTTTGATTTAGATTATATCATAATCATTTCTAATATGTATAATTGATTATGCTTGTCATGGTTTTAATCATTATCAACTTGCTTTTCTGATGATCCTTTTAGTATACAGCATGTCATTTTCAGCATAATTGATTCTAATTTGTTTTAACCTTACTTACATGCTTTACCCCAGTATGTTACATGTAGGAGTGACTTTTGCCTGTGTTGACTTTATTAAATATTGCTTTAATACTTTACTTTGTAGAGAGAAGTGTTCATACAGTTATGACCAGTCATAAAATGAAATCTTTCATTACCAAAGTGTAAGTCTTTTAAAAAAGCTTCATTTATAGTTTTTACAAGAATGATAGTGAAACAGAAAAATTGATTTAGTTGCTAATATGTTCGGATATATGGACAACTCATAACTGTATGAACATTATAAATGCAAATCATTACGCTGCAACTTTAGTTTTGACCACTGATTATTTTCAGCTTGCTTGCCTCCATAAACATACACTAGGACCTCTGCATTTTCTGTACGTAGTTTTAATATCGGCAACATTTTTGTAACCACGTCTTCCACCCTTGTAGTTTTGTCATAATTTTTACTTTTCCTTCTTGTTCTCACCTGGCTTTATTTCCTTCCCAGATTTTGACACCTTGCCGGAAAACCGAAATATCTTATTAAAGCCTTCTGTACTAATGAACAACCATTCTCGAAATTTTACAGATCTTCTTATCATAAGGGACTTTTGTTGTATATTATTTTTTTTAAAAACCACCTCTGACTTCACGTATAAAGGCACTCTGTATCTGCCCTTCTTGCCGTACTAATTTATGTTTTAATGTCACCAGGGTGTTGAGAAAAGTAAGATACTAACGCTCTTTTTCTACGGCGATATTGACACCCTTCGATGTGCTTGTAAGATGCATGCAACTGTGTCATCACCCTATCATCTGTTAGAGCTTACGGGGCAGACATTAGTGGAAAGTTTGTTTGCGTTTGTTGTTAAGTGTACTCGTACACTTTTTATCTAGGTAATGTTGATTTTTGTTGTACAGCAATCATGCGATGGCAGGGCTTGAAACTGATTTTTTTTGTTATTTAGGTATTACTCCAAAACTTACTTTTCTTAGTTTCTCATGTGTGGATTGATTCGTTGATTTTCTTTAAACTTTTTGATTAAAGTCATTTTTCCCTCCTATACAGCATTCAAAATCGTCAACATATTTTCCACTGTATCTAGGTCGTGTTTTGTCTTTGTCAACTTTTGTTGCTTTGTAAAAGTTGTTTCGATATTCTTTCTTTGATTATAGGTTTATAGACAGTCTTTGAGAAAAAGTCCCATATTTTAATAATTTCATCTCCAACAGTTACTTTTTGTGTGTTCTGAAAATTTAGTAAGGCTTGATGTAGAAAAAGTCTGACAGGTCTGAAGTAGAATTTAATGAAATTTGCATGCTCCAAAATTTCAGTATCTGTACAAATTTTCATGTTTTACATGAGCCTATTAATATTAATGATATGATTGCAAAGAATATGTTTTTTTTATTCTAAGGTGTTAGATCAAGCTCTATGCTAATGTCTGCCCTGTAAGGATAATCATTCTACTGTAAAATAGCATCTAATTATTTTTGCTTGTTTCATTATGCTTGCATTATAAGATGTACTTATGCCAGGCATTTCTCAAGCTAGGGCCTAGCCTACCCACCCACCTTCCTGTGCTGCTACTGTCGTTGTGGCGTTGCGTGTCGTGGCCAGTTTTCGTGCTTTGTGTTTCGTGACGCTCGGGCGTGGTCACCCCCCGTGCCACGCCCACCCTGTACTAACCAATCACGAAGTTCCGTCTCCAATCTCTGTTTTAGATCAAAAAGATTCTGCGGATGGGAATCGAGACGCCGGAGGGGCAAAATGATTTGAAGAGAATGCAGCTTCGCGAGCTCGCGGCGCTCAACGGGACACTACGGGATGGTGAAATAGCCAGGTACCCGACCACCTTCATACTTATTGCTGTCTTTTCCCCACACATTTTTATTTGTAGATTAAAGCCATTCTGAAACAAGGGATTGAAACACCCGAGGGGCAGAACGATCTGCGGCGTATGCAGCTGCGGGAACTTGCGCGCCTGAACGGAACACTCCGGGAGGACGATGCTCACCGGTAAGTTCTCTCTGTTGCTTCTTTTATCACTGCCTGGGAGAGAAGGTCATGTGTTCACATGAAGATGCTGCTTTTTAGATCAAAATTATATAGAACTGTCTTGTGTGTGATTTAGAAGATCTAATTCTATACAATATATGTCTTCCTATGTTCTCTGTAATATTTTATGTGTGGGTCACCACATCAGCAGTAGCTGTGTCCCATGTGTGTTGTATTGTTACAATTCCAATCGAACCGAGATCAACAGGTTTAGTTACTTCCTTTGTTGGTGGAATAATTTCGTGTGTTGTAGGCAGTATCTGGGAGATCTTGATTTTAATCCAGGCATGTATTTAGGGATTTGTGGATGAAGATTAGACATCAAGGAAATAAAATTTTGTTAAGAAATGGTTAATCAAGCAACTGGATAGATACAAAAAAAATGTACTCCCGTACAAAAAGATTTTGGGTTGCCTTCGAGGTAGAATAAACACTGAAATTTGAAAAGTAAGCATAGTTTTAAGGGCATCATATTTCATATTGAACCTGGATGTACTTTGAGGTTAAACAATGTGCTAAAGACGTTTTTAAGTTTCTACTTTCTTGGCAATTTTTACACGATCAGGTAATGTGGTTGTCATCTATACCTCTCTTTGTAGCATTTAAAGAAATTGCACAGGAAAAAGTGTATATATGGATGTGTTGTTTTGTGCTGTTGATCTAATGTTGCTAGTCTCCTTCATATCATAGCTTATACTTCTGGCTTAGAACAGAATTGGTGTTATGTCAATTGTCATGTTGCAGTTAATATGCAATTCAGATCCTTGCATACATTTGTGTGAAGATAGGTTTTATCAAGGTAAAATATATGCAGTTGTTGTTTGACTCTTTGAGTAGGTCCCATACTACTTGTTACGTTGTGCTAACCGTGTGATTTTAGGTGCACGAACTGCGGCTCAGCGGAACATCGGACCTGGCAGTGTCCTGAGCAGCGAAACATCACCAATAACGTGGTGTGTACCATGTGTGGCGGCGCCGGTCACATCGCCTCCGACTGTCGGCAGAAGAGGTGAACTTTCCTTCTGTTTCTAAATAGTAGAGGGGATTCATTTCTCAAGCTAACTGACATCTCGCACACATCTCGCACACAACTCTCAGTAAGACATCTGGAGCCGCAAAGTTCCCGTTTAGAACTTTTATTCAGCCTGTCCCCCTGTTTCCTTATGTTTCTAGCACAAGCAGATTTTTGGTGGTAGTAATCTTAACCATGCTTAGTTTTCAAGCTAAAATAAGTATTTTCAATGTTGAAAATAAAACACTGCAAGTTGTACCTTTATGAGCACATAGCAACTTGTACATTGACAATGCTAATGATATACATGTATGCAATAAACTTCATTGTCATTAATATTAACACACAGGCCAGGTGAAATGGGAGGAGTGAACCCTGTCTCTGGAGTAGACAAGGCCAAAATGGACAGTGAGGTAAGAACAGTGTGTTTCTAAATACACATCTGCTAATAGTCATGTTGCTAATGTAGGTTTTCGCTTAGGACAACAGTAGAAGATGTTGGTGCCTGCCCTATTTGATACTGTATGCTTGGCATCATTAGTTTTGTAGTCAGCTAAATTGTCACTGTTGTACTTTAAAGTACATGTCCATACCTTTTGAAGAGAGTAAACTAAAGTATATAGTAAAGTGGATTCATGCCTCAAGCCAACCGACATTTGGCAGTCATCTGGAGCTGCATAGTTCCCATTTAGTCAGCCTGAAGTGAGTAAACAAACTGAAGTTATTTGCAGGAAATATAAGAGCAAAATCATAAGTTCAAGTTCCAGAAATAGTAGCACCAGCAATCTGTCACTGTCACTTCATGTTTCCAACGTACAGTCTTTCCCAAGAACAATCCTTAAAAACCTGTAAGATACATAGCCAACTGTTCTGTAGTCAGGTAACGTGTGCCTGTTGTACCCTACAGTACATGTCCTTGATGGCAGAGCTTGGAGAGGGGCCGCCGCCACCTTCTTCTGGCCCAGGCAACCGTGGACCGCCACCTAACCGTGGACCACCACCAAACGTGAGCACTCTAGTTATGTAATTCCAGCTATTGCCATGAAACTTTCATCTTCACTGTTTTCACTGTCACTTCTGTACCGTTGTGAACATTATTTGTATACAATCATTGGTTTTGCCCCCTCCCTGCACTCTAAGTTCTATAAACAATGTCCATTTTACACAGGCTGAAATTTTGCTACCTTGAATTACAGTATTACTCTAGCCTAGATGACAATGCTGGGTTTCTTTGTAAACAGTATGAATAGATTTTTTTGTTTTGTTAATTACGATACATAATACATTCTACTATAGCAAACATGTGCCTCATAGCTATACTGTGACCGTGTTACAAATAGAATTGTATGTACAATGTAGCAGAAAACAATACTTTATGCAGGGGTTAAAATACCCGGTCTCGCAGTCTCGCCGCGCAAGTAATTTTTTCTGTGCGAGACTTATTCGGAAAGCCAGGTTGCCCGGAGCGCAAGTTATTTTTACAGCGGCTGGGTTTACGGCCAGCGGCTTCTGAAATAAACAGTGCCGCGGTCCCGCCTGATAACATCCCGCCTCGGCCTGCCGGCCTGCACGTGAGCAGTCCCTCTACTCAAATAACAGCGGGTGTTGATAATTTGGCGTTTCGCCTCCCTGAGCACGTGCGCGTAGGGATTTAATTCCAATATTTCCCCGATAAATATGTTCGTCATTCAAATTTTCTTCGGCCGAGCGGCGTGGATCGAGCCGCTATCCTGCCGCATGCCGGCTGTGCGCGTGAAGTTTTCGGCGGTTCCGCGGAAAAATAATCCATCCCCAGAAGAAATGTCACGCATGAAAATAACAACTATACCTTAGTTTCCCCGTTTTATGAGTCTTTGAGGCCGTGAAATGTTTAAAACGGTTGAAATTTGTCCAAAAAAACAGCTCGAAAGACTGAGAAATAATGGCCAACATGGCCGACACATGTTGACAACAAAAGTGGTCAAAGGTCAAGTTAGCATCCAAACGTACAGGACATTGCAATGTGCTAATAAAAACGATGCTTTAAACGCATGTAAATTATTTTTTGGCAACAACAGAAATAAAAATTCACTCATATTTTTAGAAGGTTAATTTTCAAACATTACTGTGAAATTTTTCAAATTTATTGGTTTCTAGCTTCAGAATATAATAGTTGTTTCTTAGAATGTGCGGTTGGATGCTGTGAAGGACTTGACATATATTAAGTATATTAGACATATATTAGACATATATTACACATATATTAGACATTAGAGATTTAATATGATCATGCCTACCAGTTTTTGAGTAGGAGTCTCATAGACATAATCACAATTTTATTTGTTCAGCTGTGTCAATATGTGATTTTGTTTGGGATATGATAGGGTTACTACTACTAGCTTAGTTATATTTGGTTTAGTTTATTAAGATGTTGGTAACACCTACTTGCTCCAAGTTCCAGGTAGTAAATACATGTACATTTTGTATCATGTATTTTTCACTTGTTGAACTTGTGGAAGCACCGTTGGCCCCCGGTTAGGGGTCATCCGGGGAACCTATGCCCATTTTTTTCAAAATTAAGGGTGCAGCTGCTAACAGTACTCAGTAGTTGCACGGCTGTGTCAGAACTTACCAGTGAATAACACAAGACAAGTTTGAGTTTACTTCAATCTTTCTGTCTTTGACTCTTTGATAGAAGTATTTATTAAAGAGTTTTCATCTTAATTTAGCCAAGTTGCTCGAGTTATGCTGGTGTAACTGCATTGCCATGGGTTTAGGTCCGGAATCATAAGGTACGGACCTGAACCTAAACCTCTGGTTATGAGTCCAGAACCTGAACGTGGGTTAAGGTCCGCATCCCTAAGTACAAGGTGGATTGGTCATATTGAGAGAGCTCTGGGTGTTTATGGAAGAAGGCCCAGGCAGGACGAGGCAGATGATGAAACCAGCAGTTCTTCCGGCTCAGAGTCGGAGATGTGAAGGTAGCATTTTTGAATAAACGATGATGTTTGACAGCTGTTGTGTTTGCTACTTGATAAACAAACCTATTAATTGATAAAAAGAAAGGATAATGGATATTGGGTAGCAGATTTGAAGAATCCAGTTCCTTTGAAATGGGGCAACCTGAAATCCTGATGGGGCAACCTGGCTTTTGACCCAGGTTGCCGCCCGGGCAACCTGGAAAAAAAAAGTATTTTAACCCCTGCTTTATGTCCTGATACTTATAGAAGTATTAAAGAATGTTGCCGCTAAATGTTTTATTTGGTTTGGTTTTCCAGATTGGCAACAGACCCCCCTGGATGAGTGGACCCCCCAAGGCCATAGGAGCCCCCCCTGGCGGCCCACCCCCTCCCGTTCCCCCACCCCCTAATGTCCCCAGCATGGTGCCCCCTCCCTCTACCAGTATGTCGGGCATGCCACCCCCCTCCAGCAATGCTAACATGCCCCCCTGGCAGATGCCACCCCCCAAGACGTCCATGAACAACAATCAACAGCCACCACCACCAGGTAATGAGGGGGTTTCTCTGTGCCAACAGTCTTTCTGTTGTGAATAATATTGAATTAAGAGACTCCTTCTACACAAGTCTTTTATTCAGCCTATGTTTCAGTCACCGTCTGTCGCCTTCCTCAGGGCAATTCTGACCGGTTCACATTGTACTGCAGCACAGGTGTCGCTGCTATAGATGCATTCCCATATGTACAATATTTACATATCTACACATATGCGTGGTTACAGGGAACTGTATCTACAATGCGGTCCCAAACGTACAGGAGTCGGAGTGAACCAGTCAGAGTTGCTCTGAGGAATGTGACAGATGGTCACTGAAACGTCGACTGAATAAAAGATTTGGTTGTGTAGAAAGAGTCTCTTTACTCAGTGACTTATCAACCTCATGAAACTATTAATGGATGTGAATAATATTGTCAAGTCCCAAATACAACACTAGACAAAGTTAGGTGGTTTTACTGTATAGCAATATTTTTGGACAATGTTATCCTGACAATTTTAGGCATGATAAGACAGGACACCTAGCACCTTCCTCTCATACTGCAAGCTGGAAGTTGCCTGTTTAGTGGAAGCTACACTGCTTTCTGCTCTGAAAAGCTGTACTACAATATAGTTGAAGAACTCTTGGTGGCAATGCTTAGCAAGGAGATGGACTCTATATAAGACAGGCCACCTAGCAGCTTCCTTTTATACTGCAAGCTAGATAAAAAGATATCTTGCATGTTGCCATGCTGCTTTGGAGGTGGTTTGTGCTGTTCAAATGCTGTACAGTTGCTGATGTTCAGAGAGAACTCCTGGTGGATACGCGTGGCTCACCGCCATGTTTTCCTTCCCCACAGTTCCCATGGTGCCGCCGCCGCCCCCTCCCCCATCATCGAGCCAGCCGGCGCCCCCACCCCCACCAAGCAGTGGTATCACCAGCCTGCCCTGGCAGATGAGCATGAGCACGGCCAGCACTACTTCCACCATGGCCTCCGCTCCCTGGCAAAGTACGCACTGACCTAAATACAGCTACACTCCTGAGTCATTGCCAAAAATCCTGTACTGTTTTCAACACTGTAGGCCTCAAAATTTTACTGGTTATCTATGGAGCATTACTTCTACCATGGCCTCCGCTCCTTGGCAAAGTACGCACTGACCTAAATACAGCTACACTCCTCGGGCATTGCCAAAAATCTTTTCCTTTTTGTAACACTGTAGGCCTCAAAATTTTACTGGTAATCTATGAAGCAGCACTTCTACCATGGCCTCCGCTCCCTGGCAAAGTATGCACTGATCAAAATTCTACAGTTAGTCTGCTACACTCCTGAGGCATTGCTAAAAATCTTTTACTATTTGCAATGCTGTAGGCCTCACAGGTTATCTATGAAGTGTATGCTTTTACAGATGTTGGTTCTGATTAAAACAAGGTTGTTTTTTTTGTGGTCAGAAACAAGGTGTTTTGTGGTTAGAACAAGATTGAAAGAAGCATGGCTGTAAAGTTAAGAGTACAAACAAGTTTCAGAAGTCTGTACGACAAAACGGTCGAAGAAAAAAGTTACGTAGTGCTGTATCTAAAAGCTAGCTTCATGATTCGTATGTGTGTAAAACAAGGTTCAAATTGAAATGGAATGGTTTTAACTTGGTGCCAGTATAGTTTTGATAAGGATTTTCCAAGTTGAAAACAAACAGCATTACCAGGTGTGATCAAGTTTAGTTTGAGTTTGTGTTTACTAATAATACTTAGATTTTAACAACTCAGTACAGTAGGGGATTGCTATTGTCATGGATGCATATCAGAAAATAATAAAAAATGAGTCGGTACAATCATTGATGATATACAATAACAGCACGTCAGAAGAACGTACTGCACCTGCGTGAAACCCGTAATGTATTGTACATAGCACTTTGGCAGAATGTCTCATATAAGGTTGTATTCGCTCATATAAGGTTAACATTTTGACAGTAGTTTCCAAATGTTATGTCGGAAAGAATATCCTCTGCAACAGAACAAAATTCTGATGCAACGTTGACCAAAAACCCAACGAAAAACGCGAAAATACGGGGTTCTGCGCAGGCGCAGTACGTTCTGCCGACGTGCTTACAATAACCAGTAAATACAGTTATTAAAGCTGAACGTATTATAAATTCTGTACTGATCTGTTTCAGGTGCCCCTACCTCAGGAGGCCCACACAACCCTGGACCCCCGATGCCATGGCAACAGCAGATGGTACAGCCCGTCCCCCCACCAGGCATGCCCATGATGCCGCCACAGCCGCCCCTACCCCCCGGGCCGCCTCCCCCACCCCCTGGCGGGATGTTCGGACAGGCCCCCCCTCCTCCCCCTATGGATTTCTCCCAAATGGGCATGCCCCCTGCTCCTCTTGGTATGCCCCCTGCACCCCCTCCTCCCCCACCAAACTAAACCAAGTGGTACAGTCCACCAGATCAATTTGCATACGTGAAAAAAATGAAGAAAAGCGACAAAAAAAAGTGGAGTCATCCTTTAGAGAAGCGTAGCACTTACATTTGTGGAGAGAATGAGGGGGGGCTGCATGCGATGGAAAATCTGAGATGCAGTGAAAAGTTTCAACAGCAGATGGTGTCAATTGTTGTTCAACTTCTTTAATTTTCACGTTTTTATAAGCACCGCTCTGTCTTTAAAATAACAAACAATATGTAACTACATGTACTATTACGGAAAAGGACATCTTGTACTAAACGTGGAAAGACAACAAGAAAAGGGCACTGAGAAATATGATAAAGCAAGCCATTTCTAACATTCATACATATAAGTAAAGTCACTGTTCCATCAACATCAACTTAAAAATGTACATTTATATCAAGTAAGGATGGGCTACATATACCTAGTTAATAGTTGATAAACATTGTAGTAGAAGTGTTGAAAATGGCAGAAGTGTATGGTTGCATTTTATGAAGAAAGCTTGAAGATGTGCATGTGAATGATACAAGCATGTAGAATACAGAAATTCAGCTGTTCTGATTCACATCCAAGTAACATCCACATCCATTTATGTCTCAAATCCAACCTGTAGAATTTTGTGTGGGTTGAAGTCATGTTTTTTTAATGCTTGCAAGGAAAAGAAATGTAAAAAAAAACGGTTTAACAAGCTATTTGCATTATAGACAGCTGTGAAGGAGGGTGGGTGAATAGATAATGGTGTTGGTTTCTCAAAAACGTGTAAATATGCTAATATTCTGGGGATCCAGTTTTCTTGGGGTGCTTGTGCTTAGACTGATAACTATGGGCTAATTTCTCATTTATATCAGATCATTGCAAAAGGTTGGGGTGAAGCATTTTCTTCTGGGGTGAAATTTTCTGTCAGTAAATTAGAGATTTTTCGGGTTGTAATTTTGTTAAAATGAAGCCTGTGTTTTGTGCATTGTCTTCAAATACACAATACTAGAACTCCCTAAGCCAAATAGCTCAATTAGTATAAATACTCAGCTAAAAAGGGGTGTTTTGGAAGAGTTAACGCTATTTAGACATATTTTGTGAAGTGTAGAACTAAGGTCTTGCAACTAGTTTACATGAATTTGTTCCAATGTTAACATACAAGTGCGGATACTACTATCTTTATTGAAGAAATGCCTTACTTGATAGGTTACACTTTGATCATCATTTGAACTGATTTTGTTTCAAATTTTGATTCTAAGAGAGCAAAAATTTTGAAAGTGAAGTATGTGTAGTTATAGATGTAGCCAGACTGTGTTCTGAATGGATTACACTAGAAAACCCAAATCTAACGCAACACTGGAGTATACAATCTTCCTAATTTTGTAATTCTAACCTATTTCACAGCCGTTACAATCAAAATGTGTTATTTTGCGGTGTAATTACATCAACTTGTCATTTTGTGCACATTATTAAGTGCAAGATGTAAAATTTCTTAGGGGGGTCAAAATCATGTGCAAGCTAAACATACAAGTCAAGGCAAGGAGGTTTAATTCCTTAGGGAACTTTTTTGTCCTTTCGTCTGGCTTTTCAGGGGTAACAAAAACTGTAAAGAAATGTCTGCTATAGTTTGTAAAAAGGTTGGAAATGTCAAATCTATAGTCACAGTTGAATTGTTTGTTGCTGATTTGATTATCTTAGTGTTTTCTCATTATTTCAAGTCTTGAATCGTTCACTTCATAATGTGATTGCAAAGTTAACTTCTTTGTGTCAGAATATGAATTCAATAAAGTTGATAAGAAAAAAACTGTCTTTTTTCCGTGTGCATGTTTCTTTAACATGAGTGAAATGTAAGTCAGAATGGTAGTAGTAGATATATATTTTACTGTTGCTCGAAAAACAAACCAAAAAGAGTGGACAAATGAAATCGGTAGTTCTTTCAGCAATGTTTGGTGTGTATTAACTTGGAATAACTTCAATTGAGAGGATTAGGCCACACCAATTTAATTTCTTGGTTAACAGATTTGCCCGCTTCATTTTTTTCTGATTTGCAAAAAAAAAATAATAATAAAAATTCAGAATCAACTGCAAAATGCTCATATTTTGCCCTGAACAGTTGAAAACAGTCCTTTTCTTCCAAGTTGTTACAGTTATGCCATCTTCCAATGCAATGGTATCATTGAAAGTTCAAAATTCATTGTTTAAATTTTGAACCAGCCTGGTGTGTTGACTTCATGGCTCCTGTCGTACTTTGGGCCATAATAGGATGCCTAGGCCTGTTTTTATTTTATTTTTTCTCCCACCCGCTCCATTATTTTTCAAGAAAAATTTTAATTGGTGTGGCCTAATAGACAATTGCAAAAGGAAATCGACCAGACATATGGCCCCTTTGTGACTTGAAATGGTGCAGTTTCGATGTCAGTCTTTACTGCAAGGTGTGAAAGTCAACTCATTATCATGCCAAGTTATTCATTGTCCAGGGGAAATGGATTTACAGCATCAATCATACACATTGTCATGGCACCCCCAGGAAGGTGTATTTGCTTTCTTCCAAGCACAAATTGTATCTATTGTTTGGCTGTGAAAAACAGCCAGGCCAGTCATTGGTTCCAACAAGGACATTATGCACCTGTGTACTAGTATAATGTCCTTGGTTCCAAGGAGGCTTGACAAGGACTTGAAGGAGTTTTCCTTACCTTATGCTGAGGTCACATTTCCAAACCCTGGCCCGGACGGGCTGTTCGTATCAACAAAGAGTTTACAATTCATATCAACAAGGACATTATGTCCTTGATATCAAGAATATAACACAAATAGTACTCATGATTAGTTTCTAAAGGTTATGTGCTTGTCTTTTATAACATACTTTTTGTTTCCGAAAGCTACCCGGCTGGGCCCCGGTTTGGAAATGTGACCTCAGCATTACTGGTTCTCAGCAAAGATGATATAGAAATAATCAAGGAGTTTAAAAAGCAGTTGATTTTTAAGCTCCTTGAAATAATAGATTTGGGATGTTGACTCAAATCATTAACTCCATGCTCAAATGTATCTTTTACATACAAGAACTTATCACTTATGATATGAGTGAGAAGTCAGAATGTATGTGACTATCCGCATTTGGTCTTGGTGCAAGGAGCAAATCGATGTATATGTGTGCATGGATTCCAAACACCAATCAATTAGCATGTCTTCATATTGGCATTAATTCATCCTCAGTTACTGATAAAAGATAACAGATGCTATCTGAAACATCTGACTCCTCAGAGATTTTATCCAGTTGCTTGATTTTAATTTTGAATTACATAATGATCTATCTGAATGGATACTGTCTCCTGGTCTATGCAACTATGCAAATACAGAAGGGAAGAAATAAACAACTGAACAAATATTGGACAGACATTCCAAATGACCCCCTACCACCCCCTCTCCTTTTATCACTGACTAGTTCACACACCTCACATTCGCATTCAAATTCACCCTGATTCTCACCAATTATGAATTCGAGACTATAATTAGTGTCGCAGCAGGTGTGATCCCAACGTGTCTGCTCCAGGCTAACAATTGGATTTTGCCCTCAGGTGATTCATGCAGTGTCGTCACTTCCCCCTGGCTACACCTGACGACCTATGGGGAAGGAACCAAAATTACCGAAGGGGTGTTTCACTCAGTGTAGCGAAATTTCCTCAATCTCCCCAACATACGTTATAGAATTAGATCATCTAAAACATTTTTTATAGTCTTAGTGGTTGTTAAGAGTGCTAGGTCAAGATCAACCAATGATATTAAGTTGTATATGAAAAAGTGACCACGCCCAAGTGGTGTCGGTGTCCCCCCGTAGAAGATCAACATCGCACGGTCCCCCTTCAATTGATCTAAAGCAGGGCCTCGGCCGTGACGTCCTCCTTTTCAACCGAGATCTGCTTCCGTTCAGACGGCACTCGGCATTGTCCACACGGTTCGCCGTTCTTCACGTCCAAAAACCAACGTAAGTCGCAATTTTTTCCTCAGAAATTTCCCTCGAAAGGTTCGCGGTGGTACCGGGGTAGAAATTTTTGTCGTTTGGGCGAAAATTTTGACCAAAAATTGGGCCTGAAAATGTGGAAAAAGGTTCCGGTTAGGAATTTTACCGCCACCATTTTGGAAGCATTCTTGGGCGAGGTCTGAATGAAATTTGCCGAACTTACGTAAACCATATGGTCGCTTTTTCTGTCTATACGACTTGTAGTAGGTTCTTTCTTTCAGTGTAGATGGTTGGATGGCTATTTTCTGGGACAGAAAGATTCATTTTGGGGCCAGGTGCGTTTCTTAATTTTGATACTTCTTAGTCCACGAGGCAAGGCAACGGGTGACGCAGGGTTGCGCAATACAGCCTACATTTTTTCTTCTTTTCTCCGAGTCAATCCTGCTTCAGCGCTTCAGTTTATATCTTTCAGAGTTTCTTAAAACCTTCTCTCGAAAAGATTTTGTCGATTTTCTCCCAAAGTATGGAGTATTTCACGTTTGCCGGCTGACCAAGAAAGAAAGGGAAAAAATGCACATTTTTTGACAAAGGGATCAGACCTCAATCTACTACCATTTTAAAGGCAGTTGTACCTTCGATGATTCTGGAAAGCCACGATTAGATTTTTTTTTGTGAATTTGTGCACAGAAAAAGTAGAGAAAATTTGGGAAAACGTGGTGATGTAAGAACCGGATTTTCATTTTTCGTGGAAAGCCGGCTTTGTCCGCCATTTTGGTTTTTGGGGACGCCACGTGTTCGCCTCTTTGACACGTAACTTGTTTGATTTAGCCAAAAATGTCGTCCAAATTTTCACAAAATCACCGTTTTAGGCTTAACGATGACTTGAATTTATCGATGCTTAGTATTTTTTTTTCTTTTGTAGCCACATGGCATGGATGTTTCGAAGTTTCATATGCATTTAGCGGTGCAGGAAGCGGCAAATTAGCATTTTCCCGAATATTTGCATAAAAGACAGCAGTCCGCCCGCCCAACCCGGGAAATGATTAAAAATCCGGCGATTCATTAGCCGGTTTTCCTTCCGACATTTTAGAGGGCAAGTCTGTATTCTCTCACTAATTTTTATAATGATAAACATGCCTGATGTTACCTTTTTTTTAATTTCTAAAACGTGTCTGAAACCGCGGGAGGAAAAATCGATAAATCCTCCCATCCAAGTCCGGGAGTCTCGTCGCAAGTCTCGCGAGACTTGATGAGGATTGCCTCTCATTTCAAAGTATTGATTTTGAACATTGCGCAATATTTCTAACTCGTGGAGTTTTAGGGGGTTTGAAGTGCATAAATTGTTGGTGCTGGCTGAACAAGTTGTGCACACAGCCCATGCATGTAAATTTAGGATATTTAGGCTATTCCATTTGAGATATAGAAATGAAAAGTGGGGCTCTAAAACTGTTTTCTGGACTATCTACAGTAACACTCTAACAGATATAATTGCAGAGGTATCTTCCAGATGTCTCAGGGTTCTCGCCAGAGCATTTGAGCGTCGGGGGCCCCGACGCTGTGAATTTTTACCCCGACGCTGTGATTTTGCCCCCGACGCTGTGGTGCAGCCAGCGTCGGGGGGGTTTTGTTGTTTTTTCCCTTTTCAATCTGTCTTGTAGTAATAGTGAATGAATAGTACTTGATATGAATTTGAAAGCAAATATTGTCTTTGCCCTTGTCACAAGGAACACCTCAGACAATGGAGAACAATGTAATTAATTGGCCCGGGGGAAAGTAAAGGTACCGCTCGGTCTCGCCCAGTCGGGAAAATGATCTTCGGGGACTCCCTTAGTATAGCAACCAATTTTTCCCGGTAAAAATACAATTATGAAAATACAATGCCAGTGAAAATCATCTCTGTTTGTACGAAAACCCATTAAGAGTCTCTAGATACCGTTATCTCGGCAAAGAATGCGGCAAATAGCTTTTTTGTAACCAAACATCGGGCCCTGTCTTGCTTATTTTCGTCCGCGGCGCCATTTTAAATCAAAATCTCAGGCCAACTCTCGCGAGAGTTGATATCCTTATATCATTAGTGGGGGTCAGGTGATCACGAGATCTTGCGTTCAGCGGCGAACTAGCGGGCCAGAAGTTAGACAAATGTTTCCAGAATTGTTTTGGGGATTCTGAACTGCCATCGAGCTAAAATGAAGGATATAATATTCTAAACAGCCACAGAGATGACATTGTTGGCAAGGCTGGTATCTGAAATGAGATTCTCTCTCGTGGCCGAGGCGCGTATGGCCAAGGAGTTTTCCACAATGCGTGACTGATTTTTCTATCCCCTGGAAATCTGTTTTTGACAAACTTGTCCTTGCTGTAAGTGTAACTGAATATTTTTTCACGGGTCACATGAAGCTACCACTGTATTAGATTGTTTGATACAGCACAAAAAAGTCCCTTTGAAGGTAAGATATTGTGTTGAAGTTTGTCTCACATTACCGGCAAGTTCAATTTAATGAAGCCTTTTTTTGTGGGTGATTATGCCCCTTTTATGTTTTCTACTCTACTTGAATGAATCCTTTTTTATGTACATGAGCTTTTAAATTGATGAATTATTTATCAGTCAAAGAAACTACTTCAGACTTGGATTTGTATAAGTTGAAAATTGTAAGAAATAGTAGAACACTGCCTTTATTCGTTGTTGCAGAAAAGTCTGTACCTTGAAGAGGTACAGTAGGTTTCAGTAGCAGTAAATATGGCCTATGTTGTCAAACATACATGTGTATCACATCTTCAGTAACTTGACATAAAATTGACTACTAATGTGTTTTGTTTATTATGTAATAAAAGATTTCCTTGCTGCAATTAAGAAGGCATTGCAAACTCTACTTTACAAAATCTGGCCCTCAAAATGTAGGATATGGTGTTTCAGGGGGTTATATTAAGTTACAAGTTTAAGAATCGATAACCGCCCAGACCCGACCCCCCCCCCCATAATACACATTGTGTCCGCACCGCGCTCGCCGTGTGGCTTCGCTGCATTAGGTCCCCCTACGCTGTGAAAAAATCCTGGTGAGAACCCTGCGTCTCATTGATTGGTGATGGTATTAGCATATTCTGATAGGCAGAATTGTTTGGGCAAATTATGCAAATCAGGGTACAAGAAATTCATGTGTGGCAGTGGTAAAAACCAACAATGTATTTATTTTACTTCACCCAGACCCAACAATCATATTTACGATTTAGACCATTTCATGTTTTTACTGTGTTAACACTCAACATAAGCATAGTTGTCATTTTTATTAGATTTGGGCATAAATTCCTCCAAAAAATTGATTCTCGGATAAACAGATGTTAACCAAAGAACATGCAGTAAATTACATAGCAGCTCTTATCAGTTCAGTTTACCATTTACAGTGACTTGATTGTTGCCCTGTGAAGAAGGTATTTCTGGTACAGCGAGCATCCTGTTCAACTTTGACCTAAATTCCCACTTTGGAAATCAGCTTCAATCAAATGTACTCTTTGGAAATCAACTTTGAGCCAGATTTACTCTCCGAAATGTTTTGAAAATACCTTGCTTTGGTTTCAACTACTGACAATCAACAGAAGAATTTTGATGTGTTGACAAAAACAATCCTTTCAAGCAGAAAATGGATTATTTTGCCATCTGTACAAGGTTGCTCATTATTAGGTTTCCTTCATTGTGATATGTGGTGATAAAATATCATTAAAAAGTTGATGAAAGGTGTATTTTTGAAAAAAAGTTGACATCCTTTGTTTATTTTTCATCAGGAGTAAAATCTAAACCAACAACATGGGAAAGGAAAAGATCCATATCAACATCGTGGTCATCGGCCATGTCGACTCCGGCAAGTCCACCTCCACCGGTCACTTGATCTACAAGTGTGGTGGCATCGACAAGCGTACCATTGAGAAGTTCGAGAAGGAAGCCCAGGAGGTATGTAACATAAACTTGAATAAAAAGAAATGTTGGATAAAATGTCACAAAATGTATATCTTTTATTTCACGATACCTCACAGGTCTACATAAGAAGTGCTGCAATACATTGATTTTGTTTTTACTTCTTATCAGATGGGCAAGGGCTCCTTCAAGTACGCCTGGGTGCTGGACAAGCTGAAGGCCGAGCGTGAACGTGGTATCACCATCGATATCGCCCTGTGGAAGTTCGAGACCGAGAAGTTCTACGTGACTGTCATTGATGCCCCCGGACATCGTGATTTCATCAAGAACATGATCACAGGAACCTCACAGGTACTGGTCTCATTTGAATATTTGGGTGTCTCTTTTTGCCTTTCATCTGTTAAGCAACAACTGTTAAACTAGATATATTTTATTGCAGAGTGTAAACATGTTGTTTTTTCCCCCCAGGCTGACTGTGCCGTGCTGATTGTGGCTGCTGGTACTGGTGAGTTTGAGGCTGGTATCTCCAAGAACGGACAGACCCGTGAGCACGCCCTGCTGGCCTACACCCTGGGTGTCAAGCAGCTCATTGTGGGTGTCAACAAGATGGACTCCACCGAGCCCCCCTACTCTGAGGTAAGTTTTATCTCTGGTAGCACTTTCAATTAACAAGTCCAGATTTGACCTTCTTTAGATAGTAAAAACACATTTACACATAGAACACAGGCACCGAGTTGCTGCTGTTGCTGCAAGACACTTTGCAGAGCAAATGTTAAAACAATCATAGATACTGCAGAAGGTATGCCGAATCTGGATGTGGTATCACCAAATCATCCCCATGCTAACTGTGCAGTAATCTCTCGCAGGCTCGTTTCAACGAGATCACCAAGGAAGTGAGCACCTACATCAAGAAGGTTGGCTACAACCCCAAGGCCGTGGCCTTCGTGCCCATCTCTGGCTGGCACGGTGACAACATGTTGGAGGCCTCCGGCAACATGGGGTGGTACAAGGGCTGGTCCATCGAGCGCAAGGAGGGCAACGCCAGTGGCAAGACCCTGTTCAACGCCCTGGACTCCATCCTGCCCCCCAAGAGGCCCACTGACAAGCCCCTCCGTCTGCCCCTGCAGGACGTGTACAAGATCGGCGGTAGGTGGATCTTATTCTTGCCATATATATGCGCAGTTCTGTACTACCATGATTTTGTTTCTATTCCAATATTTGTTACAAGATAGGGTGACGGCACACAAAATTTTTTTTTTTGCAACTTATTTTTATGCCACCACCAACTCAGACAAATGCATGAACGGACAACTTTTTCATTTTCACCATAGTAAAGTGAGGAAATTTGTGTAAAATGCCTTTTCCATGGACACAAGATTGGTGGCATGGCAGGATTCAAACCTGGGACCTTGGTTCAGAGCTGAACGCTTTGTTGTTGGCCACAAGACCCCACTAACCAGGCTGTTTCACTACCTGATGATTAAAAGCAAAAAAAACAGGCTTGTGTTGTCAGGTAGGCTATGCTACTGTTTGAATAACGGTCGCGATTACAATTGTTTCTGATAGTCTACCCTGATTTTAACATCAAGCACATACTGTTTCTCAGGTATCGGAACTGTGCCCGTGGGCCGTGTGGAGACTGGTATCCTGAAGCCAGGCATGGTGGTCACCTTCGCCCCCGTCAACCTGACCACTGAGGTCAAGTCTGTGGAGATGCACCACGAGTCTCTGCCCGAGGCCCTGCCCGGAGACAACGTTGGCTTCAACGTCAAGAACGTGTCCGTTAAGGAGATCAAGCGTGGTATGGTCGCTGGTGACAGCAAGAACGACGCTCCCAAGGAGGCCGAGCTCTTCACTGCCCAGGTGAGATTCTTGTTTCAGTGTAATGTTTGTCTGAAACTTTGTTTATTCATGAAATACCTAGATCATCCTGCTGTCAACTGTTCCTTGTGGTCATGAGTGAAAGTTAATCAGCATTACCTTGCTACGCATCAAATGAAAAATAGCTATAATATCTACTTAGTCCTTTAGTCCTTGAAGCACTCACAGCTTTGTAAGTCAGCAACTAAATATAGCAACCAAAGAAGTATCCATGGCCTTAGTTCATCATCTCCGTTACTGCCTAGCCCTACCATAGTTAAAAGGTTAAGGATTTTACAGCTTGTAGTTTTAGATCTGTTCGGTAAGTTAACCTGATGGGTTGTGTTGTTGATTGACAGGTTATTGTGATGAACCACCCTGGTGAGATCCACAACGGCTACGCGCCCGTGCTGGATTGCCACACCGCTCACATCGCCTGCAAGTTCACCGAGATCAAGGAGAAGATCGACCGTCGTTCCGGCAAGAAGTTGGAAGACTTCCCCAAGATGGTCAAGTCCGGTGACGCCGCCATCGTCGATATGACCCCCTCCAAGCCCATGTGTGTGGAAACCTTCTCCGAGTACCCGCCCCTGGGTCGTTTCGCCGTGCGCGACATGAAGCAGACCGTGGCCGTCGGCGTCATCAAGGCTGTGAAGAAGACCGACCGAGCAGGCAAGACAACCAAGGCCGCCCAGAAGGCTACCGGTGGCAAGAAGAAGTGATGGTCGCTGCACTTTACTCCACCTTCAGTCACATCCAAGGATGGATACATGTACACAGTAGCTTCCAACAAGGTCAACCCCAAAGCATTTTGTTTAAGGATCGTAGCTTTTGTTTCAGCCATTGGCTGGTTATTCCATAGCCGAAAGCTTCACCGTAAGCACTTTCGCAGGAAAAGCGGCACCGCTCAGTTGACCTAAGTGAGGACCTTAACTCTAGTTAAGTGTCTATCGAACAGATAGCCTCCTCATCTATACAACTCCTTTGTTAGCTTCAAGGTACCTTGGTATCATCTGTTTTAACTTCTTTAAATTGCTAAACTGGCAAATCATATGTTTCTTCACTTTTAACATATGTCTAAAGACGTGGATTGTAACAAGGTGGAGTAAAGAGAGAATTTGTAAACGTGACTACAAGTTTCACGTGCATTTGTGGTACCGCTATGATGGAATTTTTCTTTACTATTATGATTTTTTCCATTGGTATCTCAGAGTAAAAAGTCACCATCAACTTCAACTGTTTTTGATTTCTTTGTGTCTACGATTGACTTGTCTGTGGTATATAAAGCAATAGGTTTGAGACAGTTGTCTTAAGGCTGAACTGAATATATAACTTGAAGAATAAATTTACTCTAGTGAATGTACCATATGCCAAGTAAGGCCTTCATACCAGTTCAGAAAAGAAAGTCGTGCCTCCATGCGATATGTACATGTACCAGGATTGAGGTGTTCAGAAACTAATTTTATTACTGGAACGATAGTTCAAACCTCCGGGAAGTACATAACACATTATGATCACGACTGGATATTTAACGCAATGTTAAGCAAAAGCTACAAGAAAAGAAATTAGTGAAGTCACAATCATAACTCGAAATACAGGATACCCCCTCCCACGCCCCCTTAGAAATCCTTGTATATTTAGAACTGACTAAAATCGAATACTAGTACTAGTATAATAATGCCCCTCCCAGACATGCAACATACAAATTTATACACACTTGTTTTCACCACAAAGTTGGTATGGTTACAATTTATTTCAGGTATGGTACATAAGTTTTCATGGAACGCTTAACTTTTTCTGAATGATCACTAACTACAGTATTAGTAAGCCAAATGGCTGTCAAAGCAACCATACAATTTGCATTGCAGCTTGTTTGAACCTATAGACAATTCTACAAATGCTCCCACACTTGTAACTTCCTAGTTAGTAATTTTTATTTCAACAGTTCATGACTTCCTTAAGGGTCACCACAAGACCTTCCTCTTCTTATTTTGCCTTGGGTATCCTGTGCGACCCCAACACGCCCTCGTAACCCCAGACATAAGGTTGTAGTCGGCCAGCTCGCGCCACGTGATGCGACTGAGACGCCATCGGCTGAGGATTCCCCGTGGACGTGAGGTGACCACGCAGCGGTTGTGAATACGAACTATGCTGCTGTCGAATGGCATGTCTGCTATCTGCCTGTCAGCTAACTCCTGCAGATTCAAATGTAACAAGTGATTTCATTGGTACATCATTGTCGAATGGCATGTCTGCTATCTGCCTGTCAACTAACTCGTGCAGATTAGTTTATAACAAGTGATTTCATTGGTATATCATTGTCGAATGGCATGTCTGCTATCTGCCTGTCAGCTAGCTCCTGCAGATTCAATTGTAACAAGTGATTTCATTGGTATATCTGCTACAATGTCAGTGCCCCTATTTGTAATGCAGTCAACAATACCTCAACCATTTTCATAATGAGAGACCTTAAACTTTTTAATATTAAAATATTCAAGAGAGCACCAACATGCCACCCACTACAATATATTGATATATAAAAATTTGAAATTTAAATTGTAAACTTTTTTTTTTTTTACAAAACTCTCAGACACATTGCAATATCTTCTCAGAGATACTCATGGTGACAGTTTAAGAAAATGGTTTCTGGTTTTATTTTTTAACATTTTTTAACAGCCCAACATATGCAATTAAGCAATAATATCATTCATACTGATTTCTACCACTACAATCTCTTGCTATGTCAGTTTTTCTAAGACTTTTTGATCTACATTTTATTCTGGAATTCCTTATACATTATGCAATGAATTTCAAATATCCCTGGATTTACATATAACAAACTGGTCAAAACCAATGAGATTTCTCTTCAGTTACCTGGAGATCCTTTGGTAGAATGGTGTTCTTTCGAAGGGAGTTGATTCGCAGGCGTTCTGGACCCAGTTGCTTCACCATCCGCCGCCGCTTGAGGTCTCGCACCATGATGTGACACGGCCAGGTACGATAGCGAACCTGTTGTGCCATCACGCCGCTGAGACTGCCGCACTCACCGCATGACTACAAATAATAATAATAATAATAATAATAAATGGTTTATTGGCCAAACATCACCCGTGCAATCGCAGCCTTATAGTGCTGAATTGATGCAGGGTTTACAATGGTACAATGATACAAATGGTATTAATACACATAATAATACACATGATACATATTTGTTCCACATTTTTGGGGAACTGCCGCAAGGGTCTGTACGGCTGCCATTCGGCGTCACAAGGTGACCTCAATACGGCTTTCCCCAACCGAAGTTAGGTACCCATTCACACCTGGGTGGAGTGAGGAAAGTTGTGTAAAGTGCCTTTGCCAAGGGCACAACGTCGGGCACATGTCCAGACGTGTCCCGGGTACGACTGGGATCGAACCCGGGTCTCCCAGTTCACAGTCGAATGATCTACCACTACGCCACCCGACACAACAAATGTTGGCAGAATAACAACCACTAAGTCACCAGAATAGCAAAGTGGAATTGCTTTTTCGTATGATTGAGCAACAGTTGAGGAGTTCAGTAATACTTTAGAATGACCAGACCCTGGCAGTATAAATGCCTTTGAGGGATACACAGTGTAGGTTTTTATGAGTTAATGTAGTGATATGGGGTAAATTCACCATTCAAATTGCACTTCCGTATAATTTGTTCTTGTCCTGGGTAAGAATCCCGCCTGTTAAAAATTTTTAAATGCAATTTTTGTCACACTATCATGGAGGTACACATGTACCTGTTGTTTTAATATTGAAACTTTATTGCATGTTCATTCCCCGGAGGGATAAATGCATGGATGTACAATGTACTAGAGAGTACTAAAACAATAGTAATATAAAAGGCTAACATTAGGTCTAAGGTATATAATGCTAAAAATAAGATAAAAAGAAATATACATATAAGTGGTATTGATCTAAGTTCTAATGGCTTCTTCTCTCTTTTTGAAACATTTTGAAATATACTTACATACTTCATTGATGACGTCTATATTTGTACATGATATAATATATTTAAAAGTGTCTTCCTTTGATAATGTTTTACATTTTTTGTCGAGCTTAATTGAACTGAACAGTGATTTACGTTCGTTATCATATAATTTACAGTCAAGCATAAAATGCGATTCATCTTCAATACACGAATTGTTACAGAATGTACACAGTCTATCTTGTAACGGTGTACGGCTATGCCTGCCAGATTCTATGTGTAGAGGGTGGTCGCTAATACGGAATTTACACATGGCTCTGCGGTTTTCAAAATTTGGGATGTCTAAATATGGTTCTCTGTCGTATAGTACTTTGAATGTTTTGTATGTTCTCAGTTTGTTGCCTTGATTTTTCCTTTGTCCTTGTGCTTGTAGTGCTGAGTTGAATTTCTGGATGAATATATCTTTTAATCTTTGTCTTAGTTCATGCAGATGGAATGGTTTGTTAATATAGTCATGTGTATATAGGCAGGCATAGCCGGACTCCTCTAAAATTGTCTTCATGTTCAACAACCAACAGGGTACTTTACTTCTAACAAGGTCTTTTTGTACTATGTAAGCTTCATACTGAATACTTTCAACGGGAACATTTCTAACTAATCTATAATAATAACTGTACATTCTACAATACGCTTCAATCCATAGGGGGAAGCGGCCAAGTTCAGCTCTACTGGCATAGTTACTAGCGTTTCTTCTTAATCCTAGAATTTGTTTACAGAATTTTAAGTGTGTTTGTTCAAGCGGCGAGTTATCATTTAATCTGCTGTTGCACCACACGTCCGCCCCGTACAGTAATATAGGGACAACACACTGATCAAAAAGCTTACAGTACACTGATATAGGCGCCCTAGTGTCTCCTAGAGTACATTTAATACTAAACAACGCTCGTAAGGCCTTCTTTTGTAGTAATTTAATAACAGACAAAGTAGTTCACACCAAGTTCACAGTTCTAGACATTTTTCTCACAAATCCATTGATGGTATAACTAAGATGTGAAATGCATTTTTGGACAAATACATGCTGAGCAATGTGCCAATGTTTTTCGTATGAAAGATTAAGAAGAAGCCTTAACTACGTAAAATGCACATGTTCTATGGCGTACATAATTTTTTTTCTTTCTTAATCTCCAATGCAAGAGAAAAAGAAGTAACACGTTACTAGTAATACTGTGATTGTGATAGGCTGCATTGGGTCTATTGAGAGTCCAAGACTGTACAGTAACAATCAGTTACACAGACAACAGAATTCGACAGTCGGAGTATGGAAATATATAAGTGTAACATATGAATGGAAACGGCGAGGTCAAAAAATGGGGGAGGGGGGCAAAAGTGACCAAATCCAGCAAACGATTACATTAATTTCTATATATCCTAAAACTACCAATCAAGAGGAAAACACATTAAACTACTTCTACTTTTTGTGCAAACACCAAAACCCACCTTTGGAATGATTTGGAGGGAGGAACTTAGCAAATTTTTCCCTGCCCTCAGTAACGAGGTACAAGCTGAGGCGGCCATTTTTATTCCAGACACACGACTATCATTTATGCAGAGGAATGATCTCCTTTCCTTGCCAATATTTGTAGACGCCAATTTTAATCCTTTGTAGCGTTTTTTGGTGTTTTGTATCTTTTCAAAATGCATTAAAACTATAAAATGTAGTAGATTTTATAATTTTGGCTTATGTTATACTATGTTTCGGTCTTCAATGCCTTAAAACGATGTTATATGAAGATGTATGAAGGTACTATGCTTGTATCTTTCCTCCTAGTAATGGATTTTCCGGAGTGTCGCAACCCACACATGTGATCATTTTACAGTCGCATTTTTGCACTGCATAATCCAATATTAACGTTTCAAATATTAGATATGTCAATAACTTAATATCGATATACATTATTGATGGAAATTGTGGCAGTTTTTGCTTGGAAAGTGCAAAACTGGAGGCAGTGATTTCGCAATCAGGCCGTATAGGGAGGCTAGGCAATGCTGAGTTGACGTCATTAGGGGGACCCCTCTAGGCGCTGTATAAATTGATCTGACCCCGACTGTGGCGGCCTCTTCTACTCGTAGCGCGGCGCTGGTGAGTGTGTCGTACCGTTACATCAAATATTTGCATATAAATCCAAGCTGTATCGCAAACAATACTGATCATCCGATAATGCACGCATTGTAGCTAGATTCCTCTGTAACCTGCATTTTATTTTCCGATGATTTTAGCGTGTTTTTTGTGATTTTTAGTGTAAGGATGCCCTGCGATTGCAACGTGAGTTTGCGGCCAGCCGGTGAAGCGATAGACTCCTTATGTCGCATTTGTAAGTCGGAAAAAATCGTTCAGATTCTTTTGGTGACGGTCTCTCGCTAGAAGCCATCTCTTCCTAGGCTTTCCTCTCTTTTTCATATTGTATCGAGCACAGATATCACTCTCTTCCTCTACTTGTCGTACCGGATCATGTGGAATTATTTCATAATTTTTTCCCGCGAAATATCATCCCAACATTCCCGTCTAGTCCCCCTCTCCAAATTTGGAAGTCCCCATCTCTCTATGCAAATATCAAAAGACCAGTTGCTTTACACCATCGCTTATTTAAAGCTTACAGATTTGGCGAACAAAAGAGTATCTCAATTCTCTGCATGCTCTGTAAAATGGGGAAATATAATTTTGAGATGAAAGATAGCGGTCCATATCATATGATCGCCATGTTGAGATGACCAAATTTATGTATGACGTGACTTAGGTTCTTTGGGTCAAGTGCAGGACACACTGCCTTTTTTTCTCATTCCCCTGATTTTCCTCCACAACTTAACGCCAAAATGATCTATATTCTGCCTTACAAAGGCGTTGGCCAAGTCGTAATTTCGTTAAAACATGCCAACAATTTTTCGAGATCATTCCTCCCCGTATGACTCAATGCGATGGCACGATTGCGCAATCGTTCACATTGGCAAGGAAAAAGTCATCCAAGACCCAAATTGTTTGTCACTGTTTACACGTTGCCACGGATAAAATATCACCGCTTATTTTTTTTTTATATGACTAATAAACGACAAATGAAACTGAAGCCTTTCGTTCATTGCATATTTGCCCCCCTCCCCCATCAGATTGTAATGTGCCAATAAAACAGCAATGCTAGTTGAATGCTAATACAGATTTTCGGAGAAATTAACAGTTTGCCTCATATATTCACAAGGCTCTGTTTCCCCATGAAGTTCCTTTGAATTCCTGCACGACAACTTCTACCTCTTTCTTCTTTCTGTTTTTCGTTCTTTTAAAGGATAAAATATGGCTAATATAACACAAATTCTCAGAACTGTATTAACATGCATGGCTCCATTCAAGTGTGTTTACTTTTTAATTATGATAAACAAGGTAAGAATCTTGTCTTGTTTTTTAAGAGTAAAAATGGTGATGGTGTAACATGTAATTTTGTAACTTTGGAAACTTAGAACACCTAGCTTGTTAAAAACTGATTACAAGTGTAAATGTGAATTTTCTATATGTAACGTTAACCTTATACTTTAAAAGTTTTAGTTGTTGAAGACTATTAAGGTAGTATAATGCAGTGTAACACCTAACCATTTGATTGATCATAATCATTGACAACAGTTTGAATTATTTTCTTTTGCCAGAGTCTTTCTTGTCCAATAGAAATGGAGATGGGTTAAACATATTACTAGTATATATGCAGAAACACTTCTTGAAATTTGATTGGCTGCCACGGTAAATCTAATCAAAATGCAATGTAGGAAGCACAAATGAAATTAGACGTCTGCTTGCATACTGCAGTGAGCTGTGATTCCAAGCGAGTCAAACCGACCTCTCGGTTTCCACAACCAACAACATGGGCAAGGAGAAGCTTCATATCAACATCGTGGTCATCGGCCATGTCGACTCCGGCAAGTCCACCTCCACCGGTCACTTGATCTACAAGTGTGGTGGCATCGACAAGCGTACCATTGAGAAGTTCGAGAAGGAAGCCCAGGAGGTAAGGTAGCTGCGTCCGAGATTCAATTAGAAATTAAAAAGTTTTCTTGACGACTTACGACGGAGAGACAATTTTGAGTCAAGAGAGAATTTTCTACTTCTGGATACGGAAGTATTGTTTTGGGTGGCAGAGCTGTAGGTTTATGTGTGTGTGTGTCCAGACAGTAGGTTTATAGCATAGCACAAGGATGGGGAAGACTGACAGGCAGAATGACAGGTGAAAAGATCAGACACTGGAAATTACCTGAACTTGAGGGTCAAAAAAGACTCAACTGCAACTTGCATAGATTTCTCATATTGTGTGACTAAAGTAACGTTAAGAAATGCATCTATTTCTTCATAGATGGGCAAGGGCTCCTTCAAGTACGCCTGGGTGCTGGACAAGCTGAAGGCCGAGCGTGAACGTGGTATCACCATCGATATCGCCCTGTGGAAGTTTGAGACTTCAAAGTACTATGTAACTGTCATTGATGCCCCCGGACATCGTGATTTCATCAAGAACATGATCACAGGAACCTCACAGGTACTGGGCTCATTTAAATATTTGGGAAGTCTCAAATGCCTCCATCAGTTGATAGTCCATAATTACTAGTAATTGTAGTTAATAAATGTTAGTAAACATGCAAAATTGTTTTTCGTAGGCTGACTGTGCCGTGCTGATTGTGGCTGCTGGTACTGGTGAGTTCGAGGCTGGTATCTCCAAGAACGGACAGACCCGTGAGCACGCCCTGCTGGCCTACACCCTGGGTGTCAAGCAGCTCATCGTGGGTGTCAACAAGATGGACTCCACCGAGCCCCCTTACTCCGAGGTACGTTTTGTTTGACACTCATTCAAGATCAGCGTCAGCTTAATACACTGGAGTTTACAGTCATTCGTTTAGGTGGAAAACTGCAAATGGAAGTATTGTTTTGGGTGGCTGAGTGGTGGGTTTGTGTATCTGTCCAGAGTTGGTTGACAGCATATGGGTGGGGGAGAATGGCTACTCAAACTGTCAGGCACAGGAAATAGGGTCAATTCGAGAGTATGTAAGTTGGGAGAAGATTGACAGGCAGAGCGGCAGGAGGTGAAAAGGTCAGACACAGGAAAGAGGGTGAATGTGGAGGTCACAAAACCCCCCAAACACTCCTGAAATCTCCAATTTCTTCTTTGTTTCTAGGCTCGCTTCGGTGAAATCACCAAGGAAGTGGGTGCTTACATCAAGAAGATCGGCTACAACCCCAAGGGCGTCGCCTTCGTGCCCATCTCAGGCTGGCACGGTGACAACATGATCGACGAGTCCACCAACATGAGCTGGTTCAAGGGGTGGGCCATCGAGCGCAAGTCCGGTAAAGCCTCGGGCCACACGCTGATGCAGGCCCTGGACGCCATCGAACCTCCGTCCAGGCCTACTGACAAGCCCCTGCGCCTTCCCCTGCAGGATGTGTACAAGATCGGCGGTACGTAGGATGCGTACAAGTGAGAAGTTTAAAGCTATCATTAGATAACTCACTGTAAACAATGTTTAGAGTTAGATGTTGAAGGGTTACGTGTAACAGGTCATTCCATGAGATGTAGCCAGCTGCCACCACACCACATGCCTGCAAATCTGGTGTGTTACGCCAAAGGGCGGTTATACCGGCTATACAGATACAGATACAGGTCTCTGATACTCCGATACTAACCATAGCCTGTTGGTGACTGTCAACGATTGTCTATAGTTAAAGTATGATTTGGTGATTTGAGACGAGAAAACAGAAAACTCTTACCCCTTGTGAAATACATTTGTTATAAATTCCTAGTCTTATCCATTATTGTGAATTTCATGCTGATTCAGGCTATTCATTTTCCCACTGGCTCCCAAAAGGCAACAGACCTACAGTAACAGGAAAACATATAACCTTTTCTGGGACCTTTGACCTAATTTTTCCTTGTCAGTGTTCCTGCCGTGCCTAGCATATGGAATAAAGTACAAAACACACAGACACACTGAAAATAGACAAAGCCACCACACATATTAGGAAAACAGTAGAAGAGTCTGTGTATCCTTAATTAGATCTGATCGATCTGATTTGTTTCTCAGGTATTGGAACTGTGCCCGTGGGCCGTGTGGAGACTGGTATCCTGAAGCCAGGCATGGTGGTCACCTTCGCTCCCGTCAACCTGACCACTGAGGTCAAGTCCGTGGAGATGCACCACGAGTCTCTGCCCGAGGCCCTGCCCGGAGACAACGTTGGCTTCAACGTCAAGAACGTGTCCGTCAAGGAGATCCGCCGTGGCTACGTGGCCGGTGACAGCAAGAACGACCCACCCAAGGAGGCTGCTAGCTTTGTTGCACAGGTGTGTGGTCCAACTGTGATATTCTCCTGGCAGATCTTTTGGTAGCCAAGACAGTATCGATAGTCAAGACAGCAAAATATCCAATAGCCTACAGATAGTGTCTATTGGATACTGCCTTAGCTACTACGAAGATCTGCTTGGAGATCAACAAATTAAGTTTTAAAATCAGAGCTTTGTTTTTCGTAATTGTAAGTCTTTAGTTCTTTTGTGGTGTGATTAAAAGGTGTGCAATTACACTCTTTTAATTCTGATTTCAAAATCTCCCTCTGTAAATGAGTTCCCGAGAGAAAGATTTGTAGAGAAGCAGTTTTTGCCCAGTGAAGATAAAATGTTGAGCTTTCTGCCATATGTGCCATGCTACTGGTATGCCTTTTACGTGATCGACATTTTCTCTTCCCAGGTTATCGTGCTGAACCACCCGGGCCAGATCCAGGCCGGCTACGCGCCCGTGCTGGATTGCCACACCGCTCACATCGCCTGCAAGTTCGCTGAGCTGAAGGAAAAGTGTGACCGTCGTTCCGGCAAGAAGCTGGAAGACAACCCCAAGTTCGTCAAGTCTGGCGACGCCGCCATTGTTGAGATGCTTCCGTCTAAACCCATGTGCGTGGAGGCCTTCTCTTCCTACCCGCCCCTGGGTCGTTTCGCCGTGCGCGACATGAAGCAGACGGTGGCCGTCGGCGTCATCAAGTCCGTGCACAAGACGGAGAAAGCCGGGAAGACCACCAAGGCGGCGCAGAAGGCCGCCGGTGGGAAGAAGAAGTGATGGTCGCTTTACGTCTCACCGCGCCCCGCCATCGCTACCGCCAAGGTCACGACCACATCAGAGACTGGAAACTCGCCTTTCAACTTCGCAACCTTCGTTTCGGCCCTCGTCTGGTTACTCCATAGTCGTAAGCTTCATTGGAAACACTTCCGCAGGAAAAGTGGGACCGCGAGAACAATACCAAAAAGGTCCCGATGATTTCAAAGCTGTTTACACCTATGCCAAAAAAGGCATGTGTTTTAATGCCGTTGTGGAATACGAAAAAGGAAGTTGACCAGATGGTGCCTAAGTTATTTATTTATTCTTATTTATTTACCAAGTGATTTTACAGTACCACGTTCTGTTTTCACTTTTTTTTCTGGTAAAAAGGAACATGTTCTGTTTTACTTCAGTTTTGAAAGAATTCTGTAACATGCGGACAGAATAAAAGAATCAGTAACAACACTCCTGTCCTGTTCTCCTGTCTTTAAATAGATAAGTTTAATCTAAAACAAGGAAAATCGTAGATTTCAAACCTCCGGGTTTTTTTTGTATTCTATTGGTTTAGGTTATTTGTTTGTGTGTAGTATGAAAGTTATGTGCGTAATATGTTTGTATGTGTTTGATGGCTACTGACGGTTGGTTCGGTATGGACTGTTGATTAACGTGTCTGACAGCCTGCACCGTCACCCGCGCCATTACCCCCGCCGTCATTGCTGCGCCGTCACCCAAATTTTTTATCGGAACCAGACACCCCTCTGTTTGACCCCTTTTAAATGCTAAGACCCAAAACTGCAACCTCCCCATTCCTTAACAACATGGTAAATTCCATTTTCAGCATGGCGGGGGTGTCCGGAGCACTTAAAAACATTTTATTTCGACGCCCATAAACACATATGCAATTAAACAAAAACGTTCTGCAGCCCAATAGCAATACGTATACCGAACAACAGACCAATCCGTCCAGCCGATCGCGAGAAACAGCTGCTGACAGAAATGTTTCGAACAATAGTAAAACCTCCTCGCGGAAGGATATCTCCTTCCCCGGAGGTAATAAATTTATCTTGCACTGAATTTGAGAACCAAGAAAAGCATGACCTAAATTGTGAGAATTTCTAGCCTAAGTGACTTGCTAACTGTATGGCTGGACCTTCCTGTCAATCTACAGATACAAAATCTCTCCCTTTGTTTCTGCCACTGTGCTGCATTCAAACACCTACAGACATACAATCAAACACACCAAAAACCATACTTCCATACCCAGAGGTAGAAAAAAGTTTGCACAATGGGTAGTGTTCTCTTAGGCCCGATTCACACGATGAAAAATAAAAGTGTCGGGCGTCGTTCGACGCGCGCGCGCGCCAAGTCGCCTACGACACTTTCCCGTTTACACACAGGGACCGCAGCTCCCGCTTCGCGCCGCAGCTGTGGCGGGCTGTGGCGGTCTGCGTCGCGCTGTGTCACATGTGGTGAACTCTGACCTGCCGCTACGACTGTTCGAATCCCTGATTCTCCGCCCGTACGAGTACTTGAGGTCTCTTATCTTCTACTGGACTTGTTTGGAGGTCCTATTGTATCCCTCCTGCTTCATGCCCTTGGCAATGTCTCCGAAGGCCTCCTTCTTAAATTCTGAAAGTTTCCATTTTGCTCTGAATTCTGTCACAGTTCCACAGCCCGATCAAACAGCGCGTTTCAGCGCTGGTCCAGTTAGATCTGTTGACTTCTGCCATGCTCAGCAAACAAGCAGTAATGCTTAGCAAACAATCCGTACAAAATAATCCGAAGAAGCAACTAACAACAAGTAGAAATTGATACAGAAGTGGAATGAATAGATACAAACAGAGGAGCGTGGCGTGGGTTTCAGGCTAGCGCGGGAATGAAGAAATTTGACCTTCTGTGATGCGGAAATGGGCGGCGCGATCTGCGCGCGACGCAGGTCTGTTTACATGATGTTTTTCCTCGCCGCAGACATCCCGCTGTGTGCCGCGACGCACTTGTGGCACCTCCTGAAGGTGCCACAGAAAAAACGACACAAGGCGCCGCGCGGCGGTGGCGGGCCTGTTTATACGATTGAAAAATGTGTCGTACAGCGGCGCGTCGAACGACGCCCGACACATAAAAACGACGCACGTGTGAATCGGGCCTTAGTTTATTTGTAGGAGAACATAACATCTATCAGTAAGACATTTCAAGAAAGATGAGTATGGAAACTTTACAATTCAATGGCAAGTACAGTAAGATGTGGGGAACATGTCATGATTGGACTCAAATGACTGGGCTATTCCACAACCAAAGGAGGGGTGGCTTAAGTTAGGCAACAAATTTACCTTAAACTACCATCTTTAGTTACCGATACCTTCTATACACCATCTAACTCTATTCACATTAATATGGAGAAAATTATAAAACTTATGTCTACTTACAGTAATAAAAGGCATATTGCAAGATGAAAAAAAGCATTATTATACAATTTATAGTGCTCAGTTCTTGACTTCCTGGCACTTGGTGGGTTATTGGTGATCCGCTCCCCGCCAACAGATCTTGGGGAGCAGACTAAAGCTAACAAGGCTAGAAACCAGGCTAAAATTACCTGCACCAGACAAATTTTACCTGCACCACTCAGAATTTCTTTCATTGGTGGTAACAGTCAATGAAGCAAATAAAAATCCGCATACACCTACATATACCTACAAATGTAGAAACCCAGTACATGGCCCAGTGCAGGTTAGATGTCAGCAGAACGTACTGCACCTGTGTGAAACCCGTAATGTATTGTGCATAGCACTTCGGCAGAACATCTCATATAAGGTCGTATTTGCGCATATAAGATGAGCATTCCGACAGTAGTTTCCAAATGTTATGTTGGAAAAGATATTGTCTGCAACAGGCAAAATTCTGATGCAACGTTGACCAAAAATCAAACAAAAATCGCAGGCACAGTGCATTCTGCCCACATGCTCCCAGTACTACCCTTCATATGCACCCAGAATGTTGATCCCTCCAGCCGCTTGGAAATGTGGTATAAAGAATAGCTGACTGCTGCCCACCCGTGCTAGGGACCCCAACAGCAGTATAATCAAAGACTGTATTCTGCTATTGTATTTTCTTCACATTTTTATGGTCCCATCCTGGCCATTCTTGTTAGTCCAGCTGTGTGATGTCACTAGGAGGTAGAGGAGTCTTCTGTGTGAATGTTTGCCCTCCATGACAGGTAAGTATTCCACCCCAGAGCCACAATATTCATCACCAACAATCTGAAGGGAAAGAAAAACATCAAATACATGAAATAAAGACTGAACTTTAACTTCCAACACTAGACATAGAATTGGGACTTTTCGGTTGACTCCATCAACCTTGTTCACGGAATTGACCCGTCTACTCTTGGAACGTGACGTCAGAGACACGTGACCGTAGTAGCGGGTCATACGTGCCAGATAACTTGCCAGATACGTGCCCCCCGTCTCTGTTCAGGGTAGGTCTGTGAGCTCTTACGTAGACTGCCTTACTTGATTCAGAATCAAGGATTTTAACCCCTTCTAGAGATACTGATTGTCCCGGAGACTCAATGTGAATACATCAAATACATCTTAGCTACAAATCTAGAAAACTCTTGGATTAGCACGAGAGACTAAATCTTGATGAAGCAGATGTAAGGATTCAGCCTGTCCAAGTGTGGCTTCAATAAGGCAACAGACACGAAAATTGAAGACAGAAAATGACCATGTACAATTCATTAAATCCATTTTGTATTCCAATTTGACCTTCCCCCTCATTTCCTGTCACTTATTATAGTATATTGAAATAAATATAGATACACAAATGGATGACAACAAAACCTCAATACATGGAGGCAACAAAGGCCATACCAAATGTCTATACTGGGCTACCATGACAATAGCACTTAGGGCATGTTGATTTGATTATATGGATGACATCCGCGTGCGCATGAATTTTCGGCCGTTTCCAAAAAAAAAAAAAGTTTTCAACCGTACTGTAAATCGTACAAAACAGTTGCAAAATGATCAAAAATATACCATAAGTACCATACTGTAAAAAAATTAATAAAAACTATACCAATGTCGTAGAATGCCAAAATTAAACGAAAAAAGACGAAATTGTAAAGAAATGAACTTGAAGACTAGATTATTCGCCAAACCATATTCTGTGCCATTTGCTCAACCCTCATGACCACGTAGATTTCATAATGAAAAGTAACTTTTTTTTTTCAAAACTTTTTTTTTATTCGCACGCGCGCATCAGTTTTGGGGCTCCCGGAGGATGTCATCCATAGAATCAAATCAACATGGCCTTATTAATGATCATGAGTTGTATGTTATACTAGTTCTTACCTCAAGTTGAGAGGAACAAAGTAAAAGTTGGCTAACTGAACTGCAGGCCAAATCTGAAGAAAGAAAAAGAAATGTGGGATCATAATACAAGTTTGTAGGAGATTTGATAATGTTAATTAAAATATGTCAAAATAATGAAAAAAATAGGTGCAACAATTGAACATACAGTACCTTATAATTGTTCAGCAGTGTTGACAGGTACTCCTGAAATGACAAAAGTAATAAAATTCATCAAGCACAGGATATGACATGTTTGGTTAATGCAGCATCAGAATCCAGGGTGTTGCATATGATTTTCTTATATGTAAACATGAACCTGACTTTGTTTGTGTGGATCATTCTGGCATTTTTAACCTCCTTGGTGTAATTTACCTTCTTCACTAGTTGCTTGATGTCTTCCCATGAGTCCCATCTGCTCAGGCCTACCACAGGATAGAATGTACCCAGGAAGAACGGGGCCATCAGGGTCTGGGGTAAGCAATGGAAACAGTGAGAGACTGAATAAATGAATGAATGAACAAACAAATGAATGGATGGCACTATCAAAATCATATCTGACAACTACGGATACAATTACTTTTCAAATGTAGACCTGACAAATATCTATTTTAAACAAGTGTACACTAGAGCTACTGTATATCTTGAAAATTTTGCAACCTTATTTTTTGTTCTAACCACCATGACTTCTTGCCACCTCAGTTATGTGTTTCCAATGCATTCGTACTGTATAACTGCAAACTTAAAGTGCTGCAGAAACCTCTATGAAGTCCTTGCAAAAATAAAAGAATTTACAGTAATAGACAGAACTGACCTGATCTAAACACATCTTCTTCAGTGCAGCAGTTGGTCCAGTACTGACCACCAGTCTTTCTAGAGTCACCAACCATGTTCTGAGAACTGGCCCCTGGAAAATAATACAAGAATGTTTCTTGGGGCCAAACAGTGTTTTATGCTGTTTTTGTGTTATATTCTTTGTATAATACTATTTAATAGGCTGTATTTGTGTTGTATTGTAATACTGTATTCGTGTTGTCTTGTGTTGTGTTATGCTGTATTTGTCTTGTAATTGTAATACTGTATTTGTGCTGTCTTGTTTTATCAAATTTATGCTGTACTCATGTTGTATTGTAATACTGTACTATACTGTACGGTACTGAACTATACTGTACTGTACTGGGTACAGAAGTATAGCCTGGGTACCATCCGGATTTTTTCTACGCAACGCTCAAAAAAATCATGAGCGTTGCGTAGCGAAAATCCGGATGGTACCCAGGCTAAGGCCACACCAATTTAATTTCTTGGTTAACGGATTTTTCTAGAAAAATAATGGAGCGGGCGGGCGAAAAAAAAAAAAAAAAAAAAACAGGCCTAGGCATCGTATTATGGCCCAAAATGGTACGATAGGAGCCATGAAGTCTAACACAACAGGCTTGGTTCAAAATTTAAACAATGAATTTTGAACTTTTAATGATACCGTTGCATTGAAAGATGGAATAACTGTAACAACTCGGATAAAAAGGACTGTTTTCAACTGTTCAGGGCAAAATATGAGCATTTTGCAGTTGATTCTGAATTTTTATTTTTATTTCCAAATCAGAAAAAAATGAAGCGGGCGAATCCGTTAACCAAGAAATTAAATTGGTGTGGCCTTAGTCAGAAATCTCTGATTTCTAATGTTTTGTTTTGTTCTGACCACTAGAAGAATAGATTCAAAAGCAAAGAACTGCACTCACCACCCAGAGCAGCCCCACAGCTGACATCCGTGCCGTGCGAGCGTAGTCGTAGTTCTGGAAAGTCCGTCTTTCCACGCCGAACTGGGCTATGGCATCTCCAACAAGAAACAGCACACCTAGATGTAAATGGAGCATGATGTTGATAAAAGTCAGTACATAAAAACTAGTCAGTCCTGACCGTCCATCAAAATTAGCCTGGGTGGCACTGCCATCCCCTACCGCGAGTGAGCGATAATCCCTCGGCCAGGGAAAACCACACGCCCCGCCGACCCTGACTTGCGCCCTGGCTCTAATTATCTCCTCGCGTGAAAGATATTGGGTTTGGGGCAGCCTGGGGTTGGGCAGCGGATACAGTAGCGGATATTAGGACTTCTTTCCACACAAAAATCTATCGCTTTATGAACGCCAGCGTCTGGCACCCAGGCTAATCAAAATTTGCTGTTGAACCAATGAGAGAGCTGCAGTCAGAAAATGTGATTAACTTATTATCCTCCTCTCAAAACGTGCTTCAAGTAGCTTAAAGGGGCATCATGTATTAATTAAATTAAACATTTTTGCACAAAAAGTTGAAATATCTTAATAGGAAAAAATCCTCACGTGATTGTCATTTATGTCTTCCGCTTTTCAACATATTTGTGCAATTATCTCACATTTTTTTTACATTACTGGTTTGCAATAAGACAGCCCACACAATGGCACACTAAATTAATTTGTGACACCACCACAAACTAACAGAATGTAAACAAACATGGCTGACAGCTGTGTTTCCAGCTTTTAAACACCCTCGTATTTATTAATATGGTGTAATATTTTGACGCCTCTAGTACTAGTAGTAGGCTCTACTTTCTGAATGGCACTTGTTTGAAAATTTTGCAGTAGAGTTCATTCATCTTACTTTGTAAAGAAATGACAAGAAAATTGTCTTTTTGTATTGTCCCAATGTTACATAATGTAGCTTTAACGCCCCCTTGGTGTGACATAACAAAGTGTACACTTTACCAGTCGTTCCAACTTGAGTCCTGAATGGATAGACCTGTGCCAGCCTGACATAGCCCCTCCACAAGCCTGCCATAGTTGGTTCTCTTTGAATTTTGACAAAATTTCTCTAGTTTAGAGATCCTTCGACCTTGCACGACCAAAATTCCTACACACTACAGTACACAAGTTGTAACCCGGAAGTAAAGAAGAAAACATGTGGAGAGCGCCAACTAACATAAAGAACTACGATATATTGATTAAAGTAAATTTACACCAAATAATGTCAACGACATAGTCTATTCATAGAAATATATCAAAGAAACATTTTGTAATTTATTTGTCAAAAGACACTTTCTTTGCTTTTTTTAACACATGAGAAAAATGATTCTTTGCGTTTTGTTGCACTCTATGATTACTCTCTTTTTAGAAGAAACCACTATTTTCAAGGGGTCGTAGAATGTGCCGGTTTGGTTGTCCTTTTTAAGATTATTACATTGCAACCTCAATATTTTCTTTAAAACTATTTAAAAAAATTAATTATATTATTATATTACAATCAAGTACCAAATACTTTGAATTATCTCTTTCTCAATACTTTTTTTTCCTGTAACGGAATTAATGGCCCGTTCCAAAAATAAAAGGGTCAACAAGTCAAGCGTTCCTTTTCAAATCTTTATATATGGCGACACAGCGAACCTTCTATGGTTTAGGCTGTGTTTTGGCGGGAAAGCTGCAGCGGGGATCGTCCAACGTCTTTTCTCAGTTCGCTAGGAGTCTCAAGATGCCACCAGAAGACAAAACGAAGAAGGTAGTTCCAGTTACATAAGTTACGTAACAGTTACAACAATAAGTAAGTAGTGAAGCCCAGCACCTTGTTATATTGCGAAATTGTAAATGTATTTATTTGCCCCAAACTTTTGTTTGTTGTAACTAGTCTAGTGACATCCATATTGTGCTTGTATAACAGGTGCTACAGCCTTCTCAAAACAAGCCGGCTACCGGCGAAAATCGCCGCCTACTCAAATTTTTGCGCCGGCTACTTTCGTGTAAATTTTCAGAAAAACAATGTAGTCTCCATTACATTTTCTCACAAACTCCACCGGCTCATTTCTTCTGACGAACTTCAGACAATTTTCTGCTAGCTTTCTGGATCTGAAAACTGCTTCTTTCTTAGCCTCCTGTGCAGATTTCTAGTGCACGAGTCATCATTTGCTTCTCAGCGGCCCGCGGCCAGAGCGGCCGAAACTTTACGGGGGGAGGGTCTTGTTCGGGGCTCGAGTTGAATCGGCGGAGCTGTATCGCTCGAGCTAGGCGGAACTTGCTTCGTAAACTAGTTGCTCACGAAAATTTATCAAGCCGCTACCTTCCCAACTTCTCCCGGCACTAGTAGTATTCCTGCTACAAATAACTAGTACGAATCACGTCAAAAAAATATCAAGACATGTACAGAAGCGTGTTCGTATCTTTCATACACAGTTAGAAACACGAGACAAATTTTCGAAAACAAATCGCCATCAGCGAGATTTCACAGCTGTTTCATTCATCAAAAGTTCTTGTCGATCGTAAAATGATCACTCATCTGTTGTCTCCACTAGTGTGTCATTTGTAGCGTAATCACGGCGAGCCAAAAATCAGCGTCAAAACTAAGAAAACCCCGGAATAAAAAACGCACACTCCCCATCGCTGTACAAAAACAGGAGCTTTCGGGCGCCATCTTGTCATGAATAAGTAAGTAGCACAGCGCGATCGACGCTCTGATTGGTGAGATCGAGGTTCACCTCACATGACCTGCGTTCTGATTGGATAAGCGATATAGCCAGCAGCAGGCAGCGCGGGAAGAATTTTTCTCGTCGATGCAGAAGAGAGACACATTTACGCTGCTTTCTACGTTTTTTCTACGACTACTTAGCAACATCCTATTAAAGAAATGCATAATTAAAAGAATTTTCGGGAAGATATATATTTCTCTACGTCGATTTTTGGCCTTTTTCTCGTAATATTCCTGTTCAAGGAACCCGGAAGTCAGTGTACCGGGACGCGGGGTGAATTTCTATCGGGCATTTATGGAGCGCACCCCGCTAGAATTAAACCGTCAAAACAGAAACAAAACTTCCAAAAAGCGAACCTGTGACATTTTTTCAGATCCCAATGATTATGTTTTCGATCAAATTGACATTTAAATATGCTTTTTTTATTTTCCTGCATTTTGTAGCCGGGCGCAAGGACCGCGCGTAATACGATCGGAGTGGCAAACAATTTTTAATACAGCCTTTTTCCGGAATTATTTGTGCACGAACCGTAAATTTTGGAACCATAAGATTGCCATAAAAGCTGCTCAGAATGTACCAAAAAACGATGTTTAGGGGTCTAAATTTTTACAATTTCCTCCGGGGAGGCCCCCGGACCCCCCCAACGGGAGGGGGGCCACCCCCCTCCCGTACCCTCCCCCCGCGAGCCGCTGCGCGGCTCGCTTCGAGCCACTTCGTGGCTCGCCTGCTACTTTTTCTTATCAGCCACCTACTCTAAATTTTTTTGAGAAGGCTGTGCTAAAATTATGATTATGATGTATATACGGTATGGGCCCCTAGCAGCTTTCTAAGGTACTGCAATAACTGGTAGTCATTGTAACATGTGGTAATGTTTAAGCAGCTTACTTAACATAAAGAATAACACGCATGCGTAGCGTCAGACGACAAGAAGAGACGAGCCAGACAGAGGGTCTGAGTTGGTGACTAGAGAATAAACCAAGCCGATTCAAGTATTCCAGCTTGGAGTCACGTTATTGGATTACTACCAAGAGGTAGGGGCACGACAACAGAGTCTAAGAGAAAAGACAAAAGTCGTCACATGGTGTCGGAAGCCGGATGAGAACCTAGAACGTTGAGAAGAAACGAGAGGTTCGACCCAAGTTTCCAAGAAACCGACGGAAGCAAAGAGAGGCCCATTGTTTCAAGCGTCCAGGAAACAGGTCAGACGAATTCCTGATGTCTAGGATTTGTCAGCGCTAACAAGAGCTAGTCTAGGGGCATAGGTGGCAAAGACGTCATCTATCACTGACTAGTTAGGAGCTGATTAGAGTGACAACTTGTAAACAGTAGCCTAAGATGGCGGAAGGGCACAGTCTGAGAGCTCCTGGCCCGCTTGATGTTAATTCAAGAAACTTAAGTCTGACCTGGAAACGTTGGAAGGAAGAAATACTGTTATATCTTGATCTAGCAGTAGAGGAGGACGCTGCAAAGAAGAGAAAGACGCTCTTGTACTTAATTGGAGAAAATGCACGGAAAGTGTATGGCACCTTCACCATTGTGAATGCTCAGAATGAAGCAGTTGCGGAAGCAGACCGAACTGTAGAGCAAATCGTCGCAGCATTTGAGACATACTGCAATCCTAAGAAGAACGAGACAGTAGAAAGATACAAATTCTTCACGAGATCACAGAGCAATGGTGAGACTTTTGATGAATACATCACAGACCTGAAGACACTCGCGGCAGAGTGTGGGTTTGGTGAGATTAGAGAGTCTCTGATTCGAGACAGAATACTCATCGGAATTTTGGACGGAAAGGTTCGCGAACGACTCCTGAGGGAGAGCAACCTAAGCCTTGAGAAATGCGCAGAGATCTGCCGAGCCGCAGAAGTCTCCAAGCAGAGCATCCAGACGATGGAACAGGTCACAGTGCACGTGGTAAAGAAGAAGCCACAAGCTCCGCAGGCCAGTAGGACATCAGTTTGCAAATACTGCGCCAAGAGACACGCAGCCAACAAGGAAGCATGTCCTGCATATGGAAAGGAATGCGCCTCCTGCGGCAAGCGAAACCACTTCGCGAGAGCATGCCGGAGTGGTGAAACGAAGCAGCCTAGAAGCGGCAGAAACCAGGCACAAGGTAGAAAGAAGCCCTTGGTGCACATGCTGCAAGAAGAAGCAGTGATGACAGTCACAGAAGAAGAGAAGACGTACAGCATGTCAGGTCCCAGGTATGCAAAGCAGGTGCATGCCAGGATGGCCCTCGAGGGACACCTGGTCACCTTTCAGCTAGACCTTGGCGCGACCTGTAATGTAATGCCAAAACACATCTTGGACAGCAACAACATCCAGTATAAGACAACTGGAGCGCAGAGGGTGCTGACGATGTATAACAACTCACAAATTGTGTCAGAGGGAGAGACAAATCTCAAGATGACAAACCCCAAGACTGGGCGGAGGTACGTGGTGAACTTTGTAGTCATTGACTCTGGTAGTATGCCATTGTTAGGATCTAATGCCATACAGCAGATAGGGGTTGTGACGGTTCACTACGACAGAATCCTGGCACTCAGTGGCAGCAAGCCCAGGCTCATACAGAGTACACACAGCAAGGCATTGACAAAAGAGTCCCTGTTACAAGAGTACCCAGACGTCTTCTCTGGTTTGGGAAGACTGCCAGGAAAATGCCATCTTGAAGTTGATGAGTCAGTCAAGCCAGTTGTGCATCCGCCAAGAAGAGTGCCAGTGGCGATGAAGGAACAACTAAAGAGGGAACTGGACAAGATGACGGAAGATGATGTCATAGAGCCAGTGACAGTGCCAACCCCATGGGTATCCAGTCTGGTCACTGTACAGAAGCCAACAGGAAAGTTGAGGATCTGCATTGATCCAAGAGATTTGAACACCGCATTGAAGAGAAGCCATTACCCTGCACCAACAATAGAAGACATCCTTCCCGAGCTGAAGAAGGCAAAGGTATTCAGCGTACTTGATGCCAAGAGTGGCTATTGGCAGGTAGTGTTGGACGAAGAATCCTCGCTTCTAACGACGTTCAACACTCCCAGCGGGAGATACAAGTGGAAGCGCCTTCCCTTTGGGATTAAATCGTCCCCAGAGGAATTCCAGAGAAGACTTGACCAAGCATTGGAAGGGCTCGAGGGAATAAAGCCCATCGTAGACGACATCTTGGTGTGGGGAGAAGGAGAAACAATGGCAGAAGCCATCTCACATCATGATGCAAATCTCAAGCGCCTCATGCAAAGATGCAGAGAGAGAGGTTTGAAGCTGAACGCAGAGAAGGTCAAGCTCAGACAACAAGAAGTACCATTTCATGGTCATTTGATCACCAGCCAAGGGCTGAAAGTGGACCCTAGCAAGGTCACTGCGGTGATGAAGATGCCAAGACCCGAAGATGCACAAGGAGTGCAGAGGCTGATAGGATTTGTCACCTACCTAGCCAAGTTCCTGCCCAAGCTGAGCGACATCTGTGAACCCTTGAGGAAGCTCATCGCCAAAGAAAACGAGTTTGAGTGGACCGAGACGCATGAGAGTATCCTAGAGACACTCAAGAAGATGGTCTCTGCTGCTCCAGTGTTGCGATACTATGATCCGGAAGAAGAGCTGACGCTGCAGACAGATGCGTCAAGCACTGGATTAGGAGCAGCCATCACTCAAGATGGACAACCAGTGGCCTACGCCAGCCGAGCGTTGACGGACACTGAGACGAGGTATGCACAGATAGAGAAGGAGATGCTCAGTGTGGTTTTCGGTCTGGAACGATTCCATCAGTACACCTATGGAAGACAAGTACGTGTCCAGACAGACCACAAGCCACTTGAAATGATCGTACTGAAACCCCTTCATGCAGCACCGAAGAGACTGCAGAGAATGCTGATGCGGTTGCAGCAGTACGACGTCAAGATAACGTACAAACCAGGAAAAGAGATGTTCCTGGCGGACACTCTCAGCCGTGCGTACCTGCCACTAGAAGGAAGCAGAAGCACAACAGAGAAGGAGGCTGAGCAGGTCAATATGATAAGCCAATTCATCTCCACGCCTACTAGAGATGACATACGGGAAAGCACGATTGCAGACCCCGAGATGACGACACTGATGACGTACATCAGAGAGGGCTTCCCAGAGAAGGAGGAAGTGCCACCAAACCTGATGCCGTACTACCATGTGCGTGATGAACTCAGCACACAAGATGGTATAGTGTTGAGGGGAGATCGTGCAACGATACCAAAGTCCCTGAGGAGCCGAATGCTGACGAGGATACACCAGTCGCACATGGGAATAGAAGCGTGCCTGAGATTCGCTAAAGACTGTGTGTATTGGCCAGGGATGAATGCTGAAGTAAAAGACTACGTCAGCAGATGCGACATATGCCAATCAGTCGGGAACAGGCAACAAAAGGAAAGCCTGATTCCACACCCCGTCACACAACGACCATGGGAAAAGGTAGGAGTCGACCTTTTCACACTACATAACAGAGAATACCTCATCACAGTTGACTACTACTCAAACTTCTGTGAGATAGACACCTGCGAAGCGGACACACGGTCCACCACCATCATCAGAAAGCTGAAGATGCAGTTTGCCAGACACGGCATTCCCGACGTAGTGATGACAGACAACGGACCACAGTTTGCGTCCTCAGAGTTTGAGAAGTTTGCCCGTGAGTGGAACTTCAAGCACCAAACGTCATCACCAGGATACCCCCAGAGCAATGGGAAGGTGGAGAACGCAGTTAAGACGACCAAACGACTCCTGGAGAAAGCAAGACTAGCACAGAGCGACCCGTATCTAGCGTTGCTAGACTTCAGAAACACACCATCGCAAGAGATCGGAAGTAGTCCGGCTCAACGACTCTTCAGCAGGAGGACGAAAGCTACCATGCCGATAAAGACAAACCTCCTCCAACCGAGAGTTCAGAGCGACATTCCGAGTAAACTCCAAGAAGCAAAGAAGAGACAGCGCAAGTACTACGACAGACAAGCTAGAGACTTGCCCGATCTCAAGGCTGGCGACATAGTAAGATGCCAACCAATGACCCCAACCGCTAAACAGTGGAAGAAGGCAACCGTGGTAGCGGAGGTTGGGAAGCGATCATATGAGATAAGAACAGAAAACGGAGGCAGCTACCGCAGAAACAGGAGGCACCTACGTAAAACAAACGAGGAAGCCCCAGACATGACCGCCGTGGAGGAAGAAAACAACCCTCCATGTCCAGCACCGACAACACCAGCAGCTGAGACAACAGTGCCAGCGGAACACGCAGCTGCACACGGACAGCCGATGACAACGAGGTCCGGCCGAGTTGTGCAACCACCAGCACACCTGAAGGATTACGTGCGCGCCTGAAGGATTACGTCAGCGAGTGATTATGTAATGCATGCAGTTTTGAAGTAGAACTCGAGGACTGAACTAACAAACTAATGAACTAACAGGAAGAGAACCTGGAGAAGATCAGAAAGCACAAGGACTCTAGTGTGCATAAGAACTGACATGCCAAAGAACTCTAAGGCAAAAGATATGTGAATGTGTAAGATTGGAAAAGATCTGTTGAGAGAATGTAACTAAAGAAAAGGGGATGTAACATGTGGTAATGTTTAAGCAGCTTACTTAACATAAAGAATAACACGCATGCGTAGCGTCAGACGACAAGAAGAGACGAGCCAGACAGAGGGTCTGAGTTGGTGACTAGAGAATAAACCAAGCCGATTCAAGTATTCCAGCTTGGAGTCACGTTATTGGATTACTACCAAGAGGTAGGGGCACGACAACAGAGTCTAAGAGAAAAGACAAAAGTCGTTGCAGTCATGACATGCATTGGTCATGATTCTTCAAAGGTAGATAGCTATATAGCTCTTGGGGTCTTGTAGTCCCCTAGTGGTTCTGTTTTAAACTGCAGTGGTTAATTTTGTTTGAGTCCATGAACTTGATGAAGGAGAAAAATTCAAAAAGAGGTTGATGGATTGTCATCACTTTTGGTATGTAGATAGCATAAATAATGATTGGCATGGAATAGCGTGAAATTAATTGCTTGTGAATTACTTGTATTCTAGTATTTCTTTGAAAAGATGTCGAGTGTATGTGTGGGAGTTGTTTATAGTTTGTACTGGTAATTTCTAGATTGGGACCCTGACATGGCCCTGAATGGTTCAAGTTGATGAAATGTTTCCATTGGCATGGTCAAGGTCAGGGTTAACATCGTGTCAAAAATAGAGTATGGACCATTCCAAAATTTTGGTCACCCTTTTTATCTTTTATTACGTACAATTATATTCTTTCAATAGAAGTTGAGTGGTGTTCAAAAGATGTTTTTCTCCATAATATAAGCTGTTTTGTTGTTAAAGTAGTATAACACTTACAGAATATTTGACTGGACAAAGTAGGCGCTACCCCTTGATAGAAATGGAACGACCCACTACCAAAAGTGTCTAACAGAAGGTATAAATATCCAGTTACCAGAGTCATCTTTGTTATTTGTTTCATTAGGAGGGAACCATGGAGGAGAAAGTCAAGAAGAACAGAGTGAGTATGATTAAATCTTTTAAAGGCCAATTTCTTTATTATTGTCTTCTCATACATTTGAAATCAAAGAAACTCAAGAGAAAGAGAAAAAAGTTTCAGAAAGTATTATACAAAGTTTTTAGATAGGTTATAAAACTTATATACACTCATTTGCAAGTTGTCAGTACTAGATTTTGTTTTGTATTAAAACTTGAATACCGGTATTGTTTCTAACAGTATTCTATTATGAATGAAATTCTGACAATATAGTATTTTGTTTTTGCAGATGTTTTTAAAGACAAACATGTAGCATGTGACAAAAAGTTCACCTTACAAAATGTTACTGTAAAATAGCTGTTACAAAGTGTAATGTTTTTTTATGACTGGTATTGCAACTTTAGTTGTGAGTGTCTGCTTATATAAAATGTGTTTTTGCCTGAAAAGCCTGTGACCTTCAAGTGTGAACTTCAGCCCAGATTCAAGATCGAAGGTCCAAGCCACTGAGACATTCATGGTGTCAACTGGTTACAAGTTACATTTGTCCTTCCTGTGTATATGGGAAAACCATAGTCATATCTATGCATGTTTAAGAACCCAACACACCAGGGCACTAGGTGGGCCCGCAAGCCCTTTTCCGTAGAGCGTAATCGGCCGTTTTAATTCTATGTAAAGCGTAGACAGACTGCTCTAATATTTTTGCGTAGAGTGTATTCGGCGTTTTAATTCTACGTAATGTGTTGTAGCCACTTGGAATTCATCGTAAAGCGTACTAGTAATCGAGAGGTTTCCGAAATCAGTGTAGAGCGTTGTCAGGACCCCCCCCCCCTTGCAGGCCCTCCTCTAGCTATAGCCTGCAGCCATTTTTCAGTCAATGTAAGAACTTTATGGCATGTGAAGGAAAAATATTTACCAAATCAATCTGTCCAACTTGATGGACAAAATTGACAAAAACCCTGGGTAAAAATATTAAAACATCCAAAGGGCCACCAACAACTACTCTCAACCCGACGATTTGCCACTCAATATGTGAGAAATGGCATTTTTAAGGCTTGAAAATGCAAAATTTGTCCCCAAACTCTCCTAGATTCTGAGAACTCTCCCCCAGGTCTGATCGTGAACCTAGGCTGATGGAAAAAGATTTTGAGCCAGATAGAGCCCTGCAACACAACTTTAATTTAAAAAAGCAATGCCTCTAAATCAATCCATACATCTGCTTGGAGATATGAATTTTGTATGCGACTTTGGCTGATGAAGTGTTGCAATGCATACACG